GAAACAACCACACACCTTCTTAGCCACGACACTTCTCGTCTCCATATCGCACAGCTCAACTGCAATGGAGTTCGCGGGCTGCTACTCCGAGCCGGGCGAACTCATCAACAACGGTACCTACATGTTCCAGAGCATAGGCTACTGCAGAGACAGGTGCCTGGCGCAGGAGGATATCTCCCACATGGCGCTGGAGGGAGGCAACAGATGCTACTGTGGCACGAATGCACCACCGGCGCGGGCGATCGTCGAGTCGTCGAACTGTAGTTTGCCCTGTGTGGGGTATGCTCTGGAGACTTGTACGTATTTCCATTCCTGGTCATAATGTTGGAGACAAATGCTGATATATTTGGTATTGCGTCCAAACAGGTGGTGGGGATGGGTTCTGGCAAGTTTATCTTATCTGAGCCCTTGTATATTCTTCAATGTTGTATTCTAGATTAAATAGACATGTGCCACATTGTGCCCATACTACTTTTTAGATTACCTCAGAGCCTGCGTTCTCCCATAGTAATCATCCCACTCGCTATATCCCTCCTCCCGAAGCAGCGCCTCCTCTGCAACGTAGAGGTGAACCAACACAGCCGGCCGGAACTCGGGCGCAGCCCGCAACTTCTCCTTCACCCACGGGTGATCCACGTCAAACCAAGGGGGAGACGACGAGTCCCCGCTGCCGATGAACACAGCGCCCAGCGTGTCCCCGCTGCTGATGAACACAGCGCCCAGCGTGTCCCCGTCCAGCTCGTCTGCATGCAGCAAGAGCCACTGAACGAGAACCTGCGGCTTGACGTGCTCCTCCCACTGGACGCGCTCGCAATTCAGACACAACCCCGGGTTCCGTGCGCCCGACGCAGCGTATCGCGGCAGGTCGCCTTTTATCCCTTCGTCAGCGTGCAGCGTCTCAAGGCTATGCAGCTCCGCAAGCCGCTGGTCGTCGTACAGATCCACCAGGAGCTGCACATCGATGCCGCCGGGGATGGCGGTAGTGTCTTCCTCTGGCTGTTTGGGAAATCCCGTCCCCACGCGCAGCGACACGTCGATGTACCTGCTGCGATAGTAAACATAGACGGTCTCGAGCGTCGGGCCAGGGTTTTCCTTCAGCCAGGTCCACGGCTGCAGCCAGACGTTGGCGCCGCCCCCAAAACCTCCCTGCGACCCGAGAATACTAGTAGTGTATGGGCTGTCCAGCGCGGCGGCAGAAAGAAAACAGACCGCCGCCGCTTGGCAGCTCATCGACTGCGTGATCGTGCTCGCGGTACACACGTCTTCCCGGCAGCCATCCCCATTCTTGTCTTTTTCCAAAGGCGTAAAATCCTCAGCGTCGAAATAGCAGTTGTCGGCCGTGTGCAGAGCAATATCGCTCCCCTTGACGAAAAAGCCCGCAATTCCTGCCTTGTTTCTGCTTGGGGGCGTGCGCTCCGTGCAGCCGCTGACGGACAGGCGCGTGCCCAGACGCATGACGACGTCGCGCGCCTCGCGACACACGCGCGCGATGCTCGGCACGGGCAGCGCAACGTGCCGTATGCCCAGAAAATCATTGTGGTGACGGGTCTCGCGCATGTCGAGGATGCGTCGGGGCAAGGCGAGCTGCCAGATTTGCTGGCGAATCTCGGCGGGGAGGAGGCCGAACTGCGGGAAGGACGCCTCCGCTTCTTCATCCTCTGTCTCTGTCTTCTCCCCAGGGAGATAGTAATGCTCGAGAATGTCGGCAAAGCGCTTCGAGTCGGCGCCGCATGTGTGGTTGCGGTATATCTCTGTCAGGATGGCTTTGCGCGAGCGCAGTGGTGGAGGAGAAGGGCGTGGGTCGCGGAACCAGATGCTCGCCGGGTGGGGGCATTGTTTGCCGGCAGCGATGTGGTGGAACCCGGCGGCCTTGCATTCTTCGTATGTTGGGTTCTCAGGGTCGGCAAAGGGTTGCTGCCCAGCGCCGGCGCCGGCGCGCTCTGGTTGCATGCTTTCTTGTTGTGGAATAGTTTGGTGTGTCGAGAGCTTGTTGGAGCTTGGGAGTGAAGAGGAAATCGCGGGGTTCAATCCAAGAAGCGTGAAAGCCTTATCGATAAACACCACTGCTGCCTGGGCAGCCAGACCGCCAATCTTCAACCGAAGTCATTTCAAAAGTCCGACGCTTGGAAAGCAAAAGACCCTAACCCTTAATATTGATACTGGAACTTGAAGTGATGTGAAGCTATTCCGCAAAATTTGCGGAATTGCAGAGTTGAAACCATAAGTGAGCAATCTCAGTCTCAATCTGAGTCATCGGTTTTTGTATTTAACCCCAGTGTCCGGGTTAATTTGTAAAAGAAATAATGAGCAGTGTTAATAAATCCTTTGAGAATATTATAGAGCAAGAACAAGTTACAGGAGTGATAACTGGACGAAAAAGGGGCTCAATGGACGCATTGCTAAAGAAGAAATTTATTTGTGACAAACAAGTCACCTAATACTTAGGAAACTAGGAAGTCCTTTAAGTACACGGAGTAAGGAATTTCCAGAAGTTCCCCAACCTCCCAAGGATACTGCCGTCGTCACGACTTACGCGAAACTGCTCCTGAACAACAATGGTCAGCGTTGAAGGAGAAGCTTCTTTCCCCACATTATGTTTGCCGAATGATCACCGAAATATCGTTCCCAGCAAAGGCAGCACACGCAGACACCAAGCTTCCCTGATTAGTAAACAGGCAAAGGTGCCGAACCAATCCCATCTTCCTCCATGCCCAGGCGAGGACGACTCAGCCATTACGGCCCGGCCCTTTTCCCAACGCTATAGTTACGGGGTACATGAATTGCAGAGAGAGCTTCAGCCAATAACTTGCACGATCCACTCAAGAATGACCCACGTCGCGAACCGACTTTCTCGACGGGACGAGGAGTTGGTTGTTTGCACCAGACTTCGTATTATTGCAGTCCTAGGCAAAGCCGATACAAATACAACTCAAGTAAGGTACTAACCTAGCTTCTAGAAAGGTGAGTTACTGTCCGCCTCCCCCCCACCGATCTCTTGCGCGAGCGCTCACCCTCTGTGTTGCTGTACCCCATGTATGATGGTCCGGAACCGCCGCTGCTAGATGGATTATGCATGTCTTGATTATGCATGTCTTGTATGCCCTCTCTCAGCCAGTGGCATGGCTCGTTCGCCGAGAGTTACATTTGAGCTGTATTCGGAAGCGATTCGCCGGTTGTGGGACATGAGGTACACAGGGTGCAAACCCCGGCCCCTATGAGCTGGTTCCGTTCCATGCTACTAACTGGCGGATAGCCTCCTGGGAAGCCGATGGAGGTTGTCGGATGCAAGCCACTCGCTTATCCCATTGCCTAGATCTGTGTCCATATAGGCCCCCAGCACAGAGCTCTTGAACTCTTTGAATGACTGGTAGATGCTCTCAAATTGTTCTTGTATAGCTGGCTGCAGAGACTGGTAGTTGTCCAGCAGGCTGGGCCGCACGAGTTGGATGGATTTGGCTGATGGTGAAGCGTGGAGACAACTTCTGTTACTTCATTTCTACAAACCCTACTAGCCTCCTCGAACCCTAACTAAATCAGCAAGTAGACACCCGACAGAATGCATGACTAATCCTTCTCATCTTCGCCCTGCCCCGTCATCCCTCGTCTTCCCCTCGTCCCTTCGGCTCGCCGTTCGCGTCGAGGTCTGGCGGGTAATGAAGCATGATCACGGGTAGGCCCTGACCGGCGCAGAGGCCGGCGGCCCATGCCAAGAATGCCGCAACGGGCAGGCGAGGTGTACTCGGACGGGTATAATTATAGCAGACTGGTAGCTCTTCGTATGCCTAATGCTAAGGGAATGAGGGTCCTATGCGAGAGAGAATGGGAATCTATTTTAATGGGAGGAGGCTTGCACCTCCAGGACGAGATGTTGGCCTTTATAGCGTATCTCCAGATAGTCAGTCGTCTCGGGGGCGGCTTTGGGGCTCGGGTAGTGTGACGTGGTCGAGGGTCGTGGTTTCAGCCCTACAAGATGCTTAATTGGTTTGACAGAATACCCCGATAGTATCGGACCAATCTTGCATGGGTACAGCCGCCAGGTCTGGCCCTCCACGGCCTTAGCCAGCAAGCCACCAGGTTTTAGATACCGATCAAACCAAGGTTACACAGTACTAGGCACGACTGGGAGCACGTCGTCGTGTGGGTGCGCATGAGCGACCAGTTCGTGAGCCACATAGCAGTCAGCCAGCACAAGGGCTACGAGGTCAAGGCGAACCACGAGATCCAGTGGGCGCCCAAGGAGGGCGAGCCGGAGACTGACGGCCACCCGGCCGTCGTCTACCACAAGGACGGCGGATCCACGCACGACTTTCGCTTTTGCCAGCGGCGCCGACTTTGACAACGGCGGGCCCGAGAACCACTGGCGGAAGTGGATCTTTGGCCCGCTGATCGGCCACTTCGGCTGGGACAGTGTACACCGAGGGTGGCACCGCGAACCCCTGGGGCGATGCCGACCTCGCCCTCACCGACGGATCGTTCGCCGGGAACCTCGAGAAGGCGATGCCAAAGAACAAGGACTTTAATTTTGATGTCAATCTAGACGACCCGGACACGAACAAGATTTGAGGGGCGAAACTTGGCAGCTTTCCTCACCCCGTCATACCGATTTCTTTCCTTTCTTTCCCTTTCTTGGGAGTGATAAATCATGTCTTTTTTTGCTTTTGAGATGGCATAAACCGGGGGGTTTATTTTTTATATATGCATCGAGGCTTTTGCTGCTTCTTCTGGAGTTCAGGTATTACTTGAATCACGGTCTAGCATAGCACGGGTCTTGAACACACTAAGTAAGCACTTGGATATATACAGTCTTTACTGATTTAAACACAATTTGGATCATTGCCACCTCACCTTGATAGCTACTAGTAGAATGCAGCATTCAAATCAATTTTTTTCAAGTTCCTGAAACATGCAAAAAGAAGGGAGCTGAGTCATACCAGAAACCTCGTCCAAAGAGGAATCTCTCTTCAAAAAGTCTTTCACTTCTCCTAGACGTCCAAAAGGAAGGGCTCAGCCGGGATTTGAACCCGGGACCTCGCACATTTTCACCTCTTTTTAGGTAGGTAAGGGACAATTCCCGAAGCGCGAATCATACCACTAGACCACTGAGCCTTTGCTATTAAAGGTTATGCAGCGGGTACCGACTTATATGGGCTCAGCGGTATCGTGACTCACAGATCCACAGGACCCATAGCGCTGTCTGTGGAGCAGGAGCTACAGCCTACAGAGCAAACAACCTTCAGCCCAGTTTGCTTTCTTGTTTGATTTAACGTCTCTAAGTATATGCAGCTGAAGCCGGCCATATGCCAAACATACTTGACGTATCTATCTAGACAGGTTGAGCGACGTCTACACGTATGTCTGCACGTGTGCTTACACCACCAAGTCAAGCCCAACGGCGGATCATCAGTCCTGTGTCTGAGGACAAGCTCTCTTTTCTTGTTATCATTTTTCTCTTTGGGAATACCTATTTATCCGTTTCTTTGTTCACAGCATAAACTGGTTCTTCTCTTTTCTCTTCTTGTGTCTTTGACGCTGCTGGTGTCTGTTTTTTTCTCTTTATGGAAAAAGACGTTAGACATGAGATATTCGAGTAACCGCCACTCAGCAACATTATTCCTACAACCTATCTACTTGACGTTCACAGAACAGCCATATGAACTTGCATCCCCGCCTCCGTCTCAAGCTTCACCCCAACACCCGGCGCCACAAAGAATATAAACCCCTCGCTCAACTCAAACTCCTTCTCGCCACCATCACTACTAGCCCTCATCTTCCCTTTTCCCTGCGTAACAATCATCACACCCGGCCCCTCGCCCGGCGCAATCAGATCCCACTCCCCACCCTTCAAACTGGTCTTGAGCATATCAAACTCGCTCATAGGCGGCTTATAAACCACCGTCCGTCCCTCCTTACTTCGCCCACTCCTCTGGTTCCTCAACATCACGTCCTCCACACTATGTGCGCCAAACGTCAACGTATCAGCAAACATATCGATACTGTTCCTGTCCGCAGGCGGGCAGAACCCCGAATTCAGCACATTATTGCTGCGCGCCATGCACTCGACGATATTTCCCGACAGGTACGCATGGATGCCATCGGCAGGAATATATATGGCCTCCCCGGGGTGGAGAGTCATAAAGTTCATGCAGGTCAATGCCACCAAAATCCCGGCGTCGTGCGGGCCATACTGCTCCTGCAAGCGAGGTAACAGGTCCAAAATGTAAACGGCGTCGATATCGACGAATATCTCATGGCGGGTCTGGGTCAACACTTTAATAATGCCGTGGATGTCGACCTCGTCGGCTTTCAGTAGGTTCCGAACGACTTCGCGGAGCGTAGAGTCGGTCCAGTGGGTTGTGTTGGCCGGCACGAAGGGATGTAATGCGGGCAGGTTAAACAGGGGAGATATTTTGTTGAGCGGTTTGAAGCCTGCGAATACCTCGAACTCAGATAACGCGACGGCGATTTCGGGTTTGTGGTTCGGGTCGGTGAAGTTCTCTGGATCGGAGGCGTGGAGCTCGGCGGCCAGGCCCTTGTTGGGGTGAATTTGCAAGGGCAGTGCTTTGGCGATAGAGAGAATTTTTGGGAGGAAGGGTAGCTGGCCGCCTAGTTCCGAAATTACTTTCTTGCCTAGGAGGGCTTCCTTGTTTTTGTCGAGGACATCTTTCAGGAGTTCGCCGGTTTCGAGCACGCGGGCTGGAAAGTCCGGATAGTCGCCGAACCAGAGCTCGGAGTAGTACTCGTCGTCCTTGATCTCAAAGTCCTTGTCTGTTCTGACCTTCAGTTGGGCGGCGAGGGACTTGCGCCCTTGCTTGCCCCAGGGGTAGTTATTGCAGCTGCCGCTGAGCTGGAAGACTTTGTCTGTCATGGTGCAGGTTAGTCTAAGTGACGCTGGTATTTTTGGTGTTTCGAAGATGTTATGAAACTTTTTTCGACTATCTGAGTTGTGTTGATCGCGAATGTCTTGCGATGTGCACGTGTAAATGGATGTCGTCACCGATGAGCTCAGCACTCTGGGCCTGTCCATTCGCTGTGGCCCCTCAGCCCTTTTGTTGTGGGGCCCTTGGCGACCCGACAATTCCGGACATCCAAGATCACATGGTCGGCCCGTCTTACCCAACGTTGTGATGCATCTTAAATGCACGCAATCTGGTCGATCCAACGCAGTCCTGGGTCATATTTTGATCTCTCCGGAAAGTCATTTGGCCGGTGTGGTGGGTGTGCAGGTAATTTGGTCGATGAAGAGGAGATGACAGCGCTGCAGCTGACCGACAGCTGCCAGGCCACTTACACCAATCAAAAGGATTTTGGCGTGTCCCAGATCCAAGGAAACACTGCGTCACACCAATTTTTAGCGGCCGCAAACTGGCGCCATTGATGTCATCGTCCAAGCTGCTCCTTTGACAGCTCCCAGCAACAAAACTGCCATCAGATGAACTGCCAGCAAACCCAATTCCCTGGTTCTCTTTAAACTTTGCAACGGTTTTGACATCTCCAAATCCGACAGTTTGGATCCTCCAAACTTTATTCTACGTTTCTCTTGTTAGTCCATCGTCTGATATGAACCAACGATGGCGACCGAAGAAAGAAAAACAAATATCGCGACGGGGGATTCCGGCCCAGGCACAGCACTAAAAGACCTCTTGCCGACCCCGGCAGGGAATCCAGCAGATGCGACAGAGGCCAGAGACGATCATGGCCACGCAACTCTTTCCCACGCACTGGCACATGACGACCATGCCTTGAAAGGCCAAGCCCAGCTAGATCACGACAAGGAGGTGCTCGATTTGGGATGGAACGAGCCGAAGCAGGAGGTTGCTGCACCACTGGTTGGGGGTATGGACAATGAAGACCTTTGGATGCTCGTGCGCCGCTTCAACAAGGTACCTTTTGTCTCTTGACTATACCGTATGTGCAGCGACTTTGTCTAATGCAAGAACCAGCAAATCTACCACCTCAAAGCCATCACGTACCCTGTCCCGGGTGGCCTGGACCTCAACATCGCCGACGAAGATGAGTTCTCACCGGACAAGATGCGCGCCAACATCGAGCGTCTTTACATGACCGTCGGCGTTGGCTTGCTCGCATTCGTCAAGCACATAGCCCGTCTGCGGTCATGGCGCGAGACTCGTCGCACCGCCTCCTTCGCAGCAGCCTACTTTGTCGCCTGGCTCTTTGACTTCATCGTGCCACTTCTCATGGCCGTGCTGATCGCTCTGATTGTCTATCCACCTTCCCGCCAGTTCCTGTTCCCTCCAGCTCCTGTATCGCTCGTCGACAGCAAGACCGGCGGCGTGCAGAAGCCAAAGTCGGGCGTCCTCGGCAGCCACGACAGCGCAACCGGTGCACCCGAGAACCATCGCGGAGAGGCTGTCGAGAACGAGGCCTCCAACTTCGTCAGCGGCATTGCTTCCGTCGCGCTTAGCAGTGCGGCCGGAAAACATCCCCAAGGAGACCCTGACTCGGAGGAGGGAGCGACGACAAACGCGGCACCTGATCCCACTGCCATTGCGTCAAAGGTCGCCAACGCCAAGGACGCGTCCTCGGGAGACAAGACTCACCCTGACCACGACAAGACCAAGGTGCCCATGGAGACAGCCATGTGGAGCAAGATGCGGCCCATCATGCACGCCCTGGGCGATATCACCGACAACTGGGAGCGCGTTGCCAAGTATGTTGACCCCCTACTCCCGCACCCAAGATAAACGACCAGATCCAACTGATATTTTTTCACAGTGCTCTATCCCCAACACCCCCTTTCCCAAGAGACACCTACCGCCTCCGTCTCGCGGCAGTAATAATGCCCATCTTCGGCATCTCCCTCTTCGTGACATCATACATGTTCACCAAGGGCCTGACCTTCGGCATCGGTTTCGGCTTCTTCGGCGACCCAGTCATCTCGCGCGGGCTGGATTGGTTGAACCGCACCATCCCCGACTGGCCAAAACTGCTCGAACTCCGGAACACCTTGCTAAAGGGTATCCCGACCAACGCCCAGCTCACAATCACTCTCCTGCGCATTGGCGAAGCCAACAAGGCGCCCCTGCCCCCGCCGCCGCGTATCACGGAACCACCACCCGACCAGCCCGCGGCGCTGACGGACGAGCACCTGCGCGCCACGGGAGCAGAACCGCCGCTCAATGCAACCCCCGCGGAGCTGAACTCTGCGATCCAGCATGATCCGACTACCAAGCACGAGACGGCTGGTAGTGATATCGATGCGGCCAAGTCGACGGAAACGCCAGAAGCGAAGAAGAAGGCCGGAAGCAAAATCATGGGCTTCTTCAAGGGGACGACCAAAGGTTTTGTAAAGACTGCTATCGGCACCGATACCGTCAGAGCAAAAGCGGGCAGTCACCACGCCAAGGATAGGCTGGGTGTCGTCCCGCCTCCCACAGAGGTTCCTGTCAGTGGACCGGTTGAGTTTAAAGCGAGGTATGAAGGCAAGAAGGGAAATATCTATCTATCGACGACTGCTACACCGCCTATGTTGGCTTTCAGTACGAAGGAGACTCACGAAAAGATTGCGGGACATGAGAGGGATGATTTACATCCTATTTGGAGTATTCCCGTTTCGGAGATTGTGGAACTCAAGAAGATTGGGGGGTATGGCTGGAAAGCGAAGCTGGTTGTTGGGTGGAGTTTGGATAGAGAAGTAAAGGATGGGTTGGAGATTGTTACTGAACGGGGAGAAAGGTATAAAGTTACTGCGCTGCCGTTGCGGGACGAGTTGTTTAATCGGGTTATTGCAATGGGTGGGCAGAAGTGGGAGGCTTGGTAGGTACATGTACGAGCAACGGAAATGACAGCATGATTTCAGGATGGGTATGGAATACTTGTATTGTGATATACGCGGAAGGACAACAAGCTGTGGTTTTTTGTAGGGACTTGGGTGTAAAATTGTGTGCTGTGATAACTGAGCGATGACATTTGACTTTGACAACTTGAATTCAAGTTAGGGATGATCTGGTCTGTGAGTAAGAAGTATGCTGTGTTACGTGGGAGGTTGAATGCCAAGCCCGGTGCGTAGATGCAACCAAGTAAGGGGGCACCATGGCAACGGAAAGGGGGTGGTGGGGTCAACAAAGATGACACTGAGAATAATTATA